AAATTTGTATATGTAATTTCCAGAATGGATAAGAAAAAGTGTATGCGCAACTAATGTCTAGCTTTGAATCTCAATTAAGTGTATTTGAGACAAGAACCCAATGTAATTATCATCAACACATACAACTTACAGCTTATACCTCCAGTAATGCCATCTCAGAAGCAGATTTTACATCACATCAGAGCCAAAGATTGATAACAAGCCTCATGACGAAACTAAGTGTCGTTATATCGATTTTTAGTGACATTAGATGAGTTTTTTTTAAATGTCACCTTGAAACTACCTGTCGTCCACTTCATGTTCTCTTGCAGTGGAACTGCTCTGATGTGGTGTCAAATCTGCTTCTGAGATAGGACTAGCTTCTATGGCCTAAGCCTAAGCTGTATGTTTTATGTTGTTACTCAGTGCACAAGTTCACATTATACCAAGTGTTAATGACATTATATCGATTTTTTAAGTGATACCCTTTGATTGCAGTCTTTCCCAAGGCACTCGACCATTTCTAGACTCGACAAGGAGAACATAACACTCAAAAAAAAATGTGTATTCTTTGAAAAACTGTGTATATCCATGTAAAATATCCTGAGGGTACAAAATGATAAAATTGTATTGTCGACGAAGAGTGTATAAAAAAGTAAAACTATTCACGCTCATACTATGTATTTCTATTGAGCGTTTTATCTGCTTAGTCACCGAGTATATACGAGCAAATATACTAAGTGACATATAAATCCGAACACCCAGTTTAAATGGTTTTATTTTAATAAAATCTTGTATAAGTACTTAATGAAGCATAATAAGTAAATGATAAACATTTCAAAATGATTGCACTGCTTTATAGCCCTTTGACCTTTAATAATGTGTGGATGCACCCTGATGTGCTACGCATTCTCCAACGCGCCTAGGCATGCTTCTGATCAGGTGGTCAATGTCGTCCTGTGGTATCTCATTCCAAGCAACCACCAACTCCTCTCGAAGTGCTTCTAGAGTCTGAGGAGGACGTTGCAAATTGAGCAATCTCCTACCCACCATATCCCACACGTGCTCAATTGGGGATAAGTCGGGAGATCTTGGTGGCCATGGTAACAATGTTACATCATTATGTTGAAAGAAGTCTATTGTGACTCTTGCAACATGTGGTCGGGCACTATCTTGTTGGAAAGTTGGATCTGCCAGGGTGTCAAGATAGGGTCAAAGGTGGGGTTCTAGAACTTCGTGGATATAACGCTGCGCGTTCATGTTACCTCTGATAAAGATTAAAGGTGACCTGGAACCATAAGCTATAGCACCCCAAACCATAACTCCAACAGTGTGATGAACATGTCTTTCAGCAAAAAACTGTGGATTCCTCCTTTCACTACGTCGCCTTCTAACCCTGGCACGGCCATCGTGCATGCCTAAACAAAATCGAGACTCGTTACTAAAGACAATACTGTTCCATTCCTGATCCCAGAGTGACCGTTGTCTGCACCACTCAAGGCGATTACGTCGGTGTTCTCGAGTTAAAGGGAGGACCCAGTGTGGCCGGTATGAAAACAAGCCAAAACTTCTCATTCGTCGGTAAACACTTCGCATGCCAATAGGTCTTCCGTGTTCTGCAAACCATTTATTTGCAATGGACCTGGTAGTGGAGAAACGGTCCCTTAAGGCCAATAATCTTAAGCGGCGATCTTCACGGTCTGTTGTTCTACGGCGGCGTCCAGTGCCCCTTGCTCTTTGCGTACGGCCTTCTCGAAGCCATGCCTGACAACACCTAACCACAGTGTCTACACTTCTTTGCACTCTAACTGCAATTGCCCGAAAAGAAAGTCCAGCTTCCCGAAGTCCCACTATACGGTCCCTATCAAACTCACTAAGTTGACGAAATCGTACAGGTCTCCGTACTCTAGGCATCGTAACCGATCGTAAAGGATGTCAAGAACCAAAATCCACCAACGTTGATTCTTTACTGCGGCTGAAATATTCATTTTTAGAGCGTTAGTGAATTAAAAAAAAGCAGTATAAAAACCGAAATGTCCAACTGATAAGGCTGAAAAATTTGTCACTTGTTATTTACAGTAAGAAAAATACATTAACCAACTTTTATTAAAATAAAACCATTTAAACTGGGTGTTCGGATTTATATGTCACTTAGTATATAATGATGAAGTGTAGGTTGATAGATATGAATCATGCAGCTATTATTATAATAATTGAAACCCATTCTCATCCTCACGAACGAAACATGAAACACATATCAAGCCTTTGTGAATAAAGCGTAAAAATGCTTTTCAATCACGACTTTTTTGTGTACATAAAACTCTCTAGCTTTTTGTGTACAACTTTATGAAATGCCTTTTTGGCAGTGTATTATGTAGATGAATACAATAACACAGTCCATAAAGCGGAAAATAACAAATAAGTTGGACAGCAGGCTAACTGTTTGATTCACGAGGAAAAGTACAGGACGTTCATAACAACTAGATTTTTGCTTACATGTCTATGAATTCACTGGACAACAAATTTTAGTTTTTTAATTGTATCTTGTGGGAAAAGTGCATTTCTTTGTTAATTTTGGGGCGCTGAATCCAAAAATGACAATGAAATAAAAAAATTAGTTGCGGTTTAGAAAAAAAACTTTTTATTTTTAAGGATATATTAAAAAAAGTAACAAGATTCCTATACTTATAAGAATCACTATATGCGCTGTCTTTTTGCTGTTCTTTTTTGGATCGTTTCTGGAGCATCTCTACCAAGAGTCCAACAGTAGTCTGCAAGCATGGAAGGATTCCACTTTCCCTGGTACCATTTTTCCATTGTTGAAATATCCTGATGAGAACGTGCTCATCACTTACGGCTCCGCAATTGTCAGGAAAAAAGTCCAGGTGTGAGTGTAGGAAATGTATCTTAAGAGACATATTACAGCCCATCTTTTGATACGATGACAGCATATTTTTGACAAGAGTTTTATAGTTGTCAGCTTTTCTATTTCCCAAGAAATTAGTGACCACCAGACAGAAATCATTCCAAGCAGTTTTTTCAATACCTGTTAAAGTGTTTTTAAACTGTGTATCTTTCAAAATATTTCGAAACTGTGGCCCAACAAAAATACCTTCTTTAATCTTTGCCTCACTTAGTCTTGGAAATTTCTGACGCAGGTATTGAAAATCTGACCCATCTCTATCTAATGCCTTGACAAAGTTTTTCATTAGGCCCAACTTGATATGCAGTGGTGGTAATAAATTTTTTTTCGAATCTACTAATGGCATATGCTGTACATTTTTTTGACCTGGCTCTAGGAATTGACGAACAGGCCAGTGTTGTCTGGTGTAATGAAGTGCCTTTGCCCGACTGTCCCATTCACACAAAAAACAGCAAAACTTTGTGTAGCCTAGCTGCAGCCCAAGTAAAAGTGCAACAACTTTCAAATCGCCACAAATATGCCATTGGTGCTCATCGTATTTTATGCATGTCAATAGGTACTTCATATTGTCATATGATTCTTTCATGTGAACTGCATACCCTACAGGAAGAGATGGTAAAATATTTCCAATATGCAATAACACTGCCTGTAAACTCAATGTTGAACTGTCTAAAAACAATCTCCATTCTTCTGGGTTATAGTTTATATTTAAAGCCGCCAGTAAGCCGTTAATGTTACTGCAGAAAACCAAGTTATTCTCCATATTGAAAAATGGTTCTAAGTCTTTGTGGCGTTTACGAAAAACACATACCGAAACATCGTCTTCTAACAAGTTCCACTGCTGCAGTCTTGATCCAAGTAACTCTGCCTTACATTTTGGAAGTTCTAAATCTCTTACAAGATCATTTAATTTTGACTGTGTTATTTTGTGCGGTTGGTGGCATGACGTGCTCGGTATAAAATCAGGATCTCTTGACGTTGATGGCATAGCTTCTTCCTGACGAATCACTCGATCGCCATGATCTGATTCGCAAGTGTAGGATTCTGGGGGTTTTGGAATAGGATTTTCGTCACTGTGAGGCACAGGTGTCATCGCAGATGGTATGTTTGGGTAGTTAATAACCGATTTTTTTTTCTTGGACATACCTGTGGCTTGTCCAACACAAGGTACCATGCAAAAGTAACAATCATTAATACGATTTGTAGGCTCTCTCCAAACCATTGGGACAGCAAAGCGCATAGACCGTTTTTTGCCATTTAACCAGCTTCTCAGACTTGAAGCAAATGTATTACAGCAGATGTGGGGTGCCCACTGTTTGTCTTGATCACCTAGTTTACAACCGAAATAAAGCTGATATGCCTTTGTTATTAGTGGAGTAATAGACCGTCTCTGAGACGCAAAAGTCACATCACCACACACGTAACAAAACTGATCTGGATTGTTTACACACTTTCGAGACATCTTGCATGAACGCTGTCAGCCAACTGAGGAAAAAATGGCTAATATAAAACAATATAATGTACACGTATGTATAACGTAACACAATCATGCCGATTACATCATCTTTCCTTGCCGAATATAAAAATGTAGCACGTGCATTCTTGTGAATTACTGTATATTAACACTGTCACAGCAGGAACACATGTAATTACCGTATCTCTAAAACTTGAACTAACATTGAAAAAATAAGTTTCATTCCGGTTTTAGCACATTAAAAATAGTAATATTTTGTTGATTTTATCTTACCCAGAAAAAAATGAATTGAAACCAAAATAGCGAAGATCTAACGCATTCACCATATTTAGCACGTGTAGCTTCATTCAAGGCTCTCCTACCATTTCCCTTAAATATTAGGTGCATGTGTGTATGTTGTTAGCTCTACCATCATTTTTTATAGTACGGACATTGAGCGCGTCTTTCATGATTTAATAAATCATCTTTTGTCGAGAATGGTAGTAAGTATTGCTTACCATAATTAGCAAGTGTCATGCATTTTTCAGTAACGTTATGAATAGAACGACGGAAAATTGTATCTGAGAACTCCTCGCAGTTCTAAGCTGAAAATTACATAACCGTAACTGTTTCTTTTTATTCCAGCAAAAGCATACAAGTACTGCAACCCGTCTGGGGGATGGGAGACCAAAAATGGTACAAACGAGTCATACACTCACTACGAAAGCTGCATTATGCCACAGCTGCAGGAATTGGCCAGGATGTGCGAGGAATTTGGACAAAACACTTGCTCGCAGGTACACATAATATAGCACGGACTTTTAAATATTACAAACGCTTTACCACTGTCTAAGCTCTTTTTCAAATAGTATTTTTGAACGAGAGTTTAAAGTGGATGGGATTTGGTTGCATACGGTCAATCTGCTTAGTGCCATTTTTTATCTTATACAGGGAGTTCCTTAATGATATGCGACTATTTAAGGGTGTGAATCTACATGAACAATTAATGTTAGTTTGCTTTATAAACTATATGCACATGTTTCCTTACATAAATGGAGATTAAGTAATATTTTCAGAACCGCTTCAGATATTTCACTGATATTTAGTACGTAGTGAAAGTTAATAAAGTTGCATATTTTTCAATGCAAAAATAATTTTTTGCTTTAACTGTGGCTTGCGTACGGGTTTGACTACGATATTTAAAAAAAATGATACGCCAATGGTTTTTTGCCAAATAAAAATAATTTTCAATTCCCCATTCAATTTAAAACGAATGATTTCTCTTCGTTTTCTTTCTATGCGCCATTTTTGAATAAAAAAATAAAAACCGCCCTATTGTCCGAGAAAATTAATGTAATTATTGAAGAATGCAATTTAGCAATTAATATCTAGTTGCTCAGGAATATGTCACTAGCTTTTGACATCTGACAAGTTTCTGTTACTCAAATCTGTTCGCTGTGACATCTTTTTCATTATTTAGTTTTTACAATCTTGTTAGTAATGGTGAATTATTCAAATGCAGAAATGCCGAAAATGCATAAGTATATGGCCTTGACGACGGTAATGGTGAGCAAGCCAGACGGATTTATCACCAGAGTTATCCCGATCGTGCTTTGCCAGATAGTCGAACCTTTTCTAATATTCATCGTCGTCTTTTTGGAACTGGTTCTGTCCGAAAAGGAACATCTGAAGGTAGACCTCTAAGTGTGAGAACACCTGAAATTGAGGAAGCAGTGCTGCACGAAGTCGAAGAACATCCTGAAGCGAGTACGAGGAAGATTGCTAAACAGTTAAATATTTGCCTTCAAATTGTTTGGAGAATTTTCGTGGATTTTTTGTTATATCCTTACCATATTTTACAGGCATTACTTCCCATTGATTTTCCAAGCCATGTGACCTTTTGTCAGTGGTATCTTCAAAAAATTACACAAAATCTGTAATTTGAATCAATGATTCTGTTCACGGACGAAGCTAATTTTTCTCGAAATACTATTCAGAATTTCCACAATAATGATTTGCGGGCAGAAGAAAATCCTTATGCCGTAACCGAAACCCATTTCCAACACCAATTTTCAGTTAACGTATCGGCAGGAATCATTGGCAACCACTTGCCCCATTCTACTTGCCGGGACGACTTGACGGACAGACTTACCTCAATTTTCTGCAACAACAGTTGTCTTTGCTGCTTGATGTTCCGTTAGTAATAAGAAACAATATGTGGTACATGCATGACGGTGCACCAGCGCATTTCAGTGTAGCGGCTCGTAATTATTTACAAAGTGTTTATCCAAATCGTTGGATTGGCCGCGGTGAGCCCCAAGAATGGCCACCAAGGTCCCCAAACCTCAACAGTTTAGATTTCTTTTTGTGGGGCAATCTTAAGACACTAGTGTACACAAGTCCCATTAACACTGTAGAGGAATTAAGAGAAAGAATAGATGCAGCTTGTGATAAAAATAAAAAACACTCTAGGGATATTTCAACGAGTGCGCAATTCCATGAGAAGGAGGGCGGAAGCATGTATACTAAGTGAAGGGGGGCATTTTAATGGTTTTAATGTTATGTTTATGTTGTCAGTTGTTGTTGTTCATTACCCCTAGTGTGTTTAATTTTTCCAATCAAATTAATAACAATTTTGCCAGTTAGACAATTTTATTGTTTTACTCAAGAATGGCGCATCGAAGGAAAACAAAACAATTCAAGAGAGATAATTTGTTTTAAATTGAACGGGGAATACCCGTACGCACGCCACTGTTAAAGCTAAAAATTATTTTTGCATTGAAAAATATGCACCTTTATTAACTTTGACTACGTACTAAATATCAGCTAACATTAATTTTTCATTATAAATAATAAATATTCGCATATCATTAAGGATCACCCTGTATACCGATCGGACCCCGGAAGTTGCCTATTTAGGTAACTAAGAAAACGCGACGTAAAAAATTTCGCAATTCAGACTATTTCCGGGGATGATCGAAAGAAACCGACTTTCTCCAGAATCGTTTTTATTTTTTCCCGACTTTATTTGAGATGGGATTTCAAATTAATAAGTAGATTAACATTGATATCTTATCTTCTCTACAAAATGGCAAAGTTAAAATTTCAATATGACGTTTCGTCTCTTGCCCTCAAGTATAAACATTATTTTTTGTCGGTTGATAATACCAATCCATATCATAATATCTACAATATGATCCTCTGCTAGGCAAATATGTTGAAGAAGTGATAAATGAATATGGACTACACATTTCTGTTAAAGCATACCCTTTAAGATAATGAATGGGTTTTTCCGCACAAGGATATTCACAAATATACGTGGCTATAACCGACTAGTATACTAAGTGACATATAAATCCGAACACCCAGTTTAAATGGTTTTATTTTAATAAAAGTTGGTGAATGTATTTATCTTACTGTAAATATCAAGTGAAAAAATTTCCAGCCTTATCAGTTGGACATTTCGGTTTTTATACTGCTTTTTTTTAATTCACTAACGCTCTAAAAATGAATATTTCAGCCGCAATAAAGAATCAACGTTGGCGGATTTTGGTTCTTGACACCCTTTACGATCGGTTACCATGCCTAGAGTACGGAGACCTGTACGATTTCGTCAACTTAGTGAGTTTGATAGGGGCCGTATAGTAGGACTTCGGGAAGCTGGACTTTCTTTTCGGGCAATTGCAGTTAGAGTGCAAAGAAGTGTAGACACTGTGGTTAGGTGTTGTCAGGCATGGCTTCGAGAAGGCCGTACGCAAAGAGCAAGGGGCACTGGACGCCGCCGTAGAACAACAGACCGTGAAGATCGCCGCCTAAGATTATTGGTCTTAAGGGACCATTTCTCCACTACCAGGTCCATTGCAAATTAATGGTTGGCAGAACACGGAAGAGTATTGGCATGCGAAGTGTTTACCGACGAATGAGAAGTTTTGGCTTGTTTTCATACCGGCCACACTGGGTCCTCCCTTTAACTCGAGAACACCGACGTAATCGCCTTGAGTGGTGCAGACAACGGTCACTCTGGGATCAGGAATGGAACAGTATTGTCTTCAGTGATGAGTCTCGATTTTGTTTAGGCATGCACGATGGTCGTGCCAGGGTTAGAAGGCGACGTGGTGAAAGGAGGAATCCACAGTTTTCTGTTGAAAGACATGTTCATCACACTGTTGGAGTTATGGTTTGGGGTGCTATAGCTTATGGTTCCAGGTCACCTTTAATCTTCATCAGAGGTAACATGAACGCGCAGCGTTATATCCACGAAGTTCTAGAACCCCATCTTTTACCCTATCTTGACACCCTGGCAGATCCAACTTTCCAACAAGATAATGCCCGACCACATGTTGCAAGAGTCACAATAGACATAATGATGTCACATTGTTACCATGACCACCAAGATCTCCCGACTTATCCCCAATTGAGCACGTGTGGGATATGATGGGTAGGAGATTGCTCAATTTGCAACGACCTCCTCAGACTCTAGAAGCACTTCGAGAGGAGTTGGTGGTTGCCTGGAATGAGATACCACAGAAGGACATTGACCACCTGATCAGAAGCATGCCTAGGCGCGTTGGAGAATGCGTAGCACATCAGGGTGCATCCACACATTATTAAAGGTCAAAGGGCTTTAAAGCAGTGCAATCGTTTTTATCATTTACTTATTATGCTTCATTAAGTACTTATACAAAATTTTATTAAAATAAAACCATTTAAACTGGGTGTTCGGATTTATATGTCACTTAGTATATATTGCACGGGTTGATGGCTCAAATATTTAATAAATGATTGGAAGGAGAAGATATTCCAGATGACTGGAACCTGGGATACATTAGCTTGATTTACAATAAGGGTGATAAGAGGTTGTGCTCTCACTATAGAGGTATTACGGTCACCAGTTCAATGCGGAGGCTGACCGGTCGAATTTTAAAGAACAGAATAGAATCAGAATACCAAGACATTGAAGAACAAAGGAAGATTTCTCGCAGGAAGATCATGCACAGCCAACATATTTGTATTTCAACAAATTGTCGAAAAAAGGAAAGTACGGGACCTATCCACACATTTATTATTTATTGTTTTGGAACATCTATAAAAATGCGAGAAGTGCTATCAAACAAGGAGATTTCATATCAGACACGTTCCCGATATCGAAAGGCCTCAAGCAAGGATGTTGACTGTTTCCAACTTTATTCAAAATATATATTCAGGAGGCTTTGGAAAATTGGGGTAGACACGTGTCTGGAATGGGAATTGATATGAATACCAATCAACATTTGACAACTTTGTTTTTCGCAGATGATCAGGTGGTTACTGCGAGTGACGCGAGGATATGGTCTGCATGCTTAGAAAATTAAAAGTTGAGTACGAGGAGTGCGAACGAAATATGAATATGGTGAAGACAGGGTACCTGAGAGTGGGAAATGGAGCAGCAGATCTTGAGTTAGAAATTAGAGGTATCAAGAGATGTAAGAAATACAAATACCACGGTAGTATATTGTCATGAGAAGGGAATACTAGAAGAGACGTAGAAGATAAAATTCGGCAAGGAAAAAATCAACTTACATTTTAAACTCCTTCCTATGGTCTTAGGATATTCGATTAAAAACAAAAATGACTATCGAACACTAGTAGAGTCTATTTTGACATACAGATCGGTATGTTGCCAGCTTTCACGGCATGATAGGAAAAATCTTGCGATAGCAGAAGTTGATTTTCTGAGAAGAGCATGTCGGTTATTCAGGATGAACCACATCAGGAATGAAGAGATACGACGTAGGACAAAAAGGGTATATTCCAGAGT